TTTTTTTTTAAATATATTTATATCCATTCTCATCCCAAAGGGTATTCAAACATAGCTGCAACAACTTTTCGTAGATATCTCTCGAAAAGCAGGCGTAACAAATTTGATTTCAATTTCGAAGTCAAAATCCAGACGCAGTCCCGAACCCAAACACAGACCCAGACCCTGGTCCAGTGTGAGGCTCAAAAACCCCGAAAGCGAGCCGGAGTACCCTGCGTAGCTGTCATATCGAAATGCCAATTAAGCTGCCAGGCACCTACTCAATGATCCGGGCCGCGAGCTACCAAAAAAAAATTTTTTTTCTTTTTTTTTTTTTGGAGTTACCCAAAATTGAGGCCGCACGTTTCGTACGCTCCACGCATACGGAAAACAACTCCAAAAGCAACGAAAATAAAATGTATTGAAGGGCAAAACAGAAATATGGCAAAGCAACTGCAAAATATGCGCGATTCAGTGAAGTGTGGCAAATGCCGAAGAAAAAATTGCTTATATATAAAAAAAATGTCGCACATGCCGCGCAGGCGAAAAATTGTTAAGAGTAGCTGCTGCTGCTGCTGCGGCAGCTACTCCAGCCGCATTCCTGACAGGCCTAATGATGTGTAAAATGACGGTCATTTGAACTGTCGCTGGCCGTGGCTCGCTCTCACACAACTGTCGCTGCGAATGATAATTCAATTGGCCTGCGAATCTCGGCTCATCGGCCACATCAAACGTGGCAAATTCCTCACAAATTTACAGCCTAATTACTTGTTGGCCTCACTCTGTGTGCATATTTCATATCACATGGCGCTTGGCTTTCTGACAAACCGCAACGCTGATGTCAATTGCCCACTCAATGTGCGAGCCAGCGTGACAGATTTACGGCAAATGTCAATGTTTTGTAATTAAATATTATTACCGATGTGTATTTTCGCCGGATTACGTATACGTCGTGTGTGAGCCGATGCGCATTAATGTGTGAGAGGTTGCCAATAGTGAAGTAGACAGCTTTCTCTAAATAAAGGAGTGAGCCATAATGTATATTACGTATACGTAATATGCTGGATAAATATTTGCAGGTTCAGGTGCGTTTAAATCTTAAAGGCATCAATAAAATATATGCATAACAAAATAAATTTGCTCTACTCTCTTCATTTAACCAGCAAATATCTGGCTTAAATATTAAGCTCAAAAGAATGTATATTACGTATACGTAATGTGTCTGACATATGTACACACAATATTAAATTTTTTACGACTTAATGTGACAAAAGTTCGTAATTAAATAAAACTGCTTTAGCGCTAAGCTCTTCTGCAAGATAAACTTTGAATACTTCAAATTATTACGCATACGCCGCATAGGTGTCTGCAATTGGCATTTATATCGCAGCAGACAATAGCTTAAGGCTAACCATAAAAGAGAAGAGATTTTGAGCACATAACTGCTTGCAAATTGATGAATCCAGGCAATTGCAAATATCGCGTATACGCACTGGAACTCTTTATATATATTACCTATACGTAATCGCATATTATATTATTAATTAGCCTTTGCCTTGAAAATTCAACACTTTTAACTGTTTCTTTTGAAATGCATTTGTATACTATTTGCAAAAAAATAAAATTGACTTATATTACGTATACGGCATAAAAACGGCTTAGCTAACATAAAATTATGCATAATTTTAAAAAATATTAAATATTATTATTAATTTTATATGCAACTAAATTTTATGCTGTAAAATTTTGCATATAATTTAAAAGTTAACTAATTAATATCGCAAAAAAGTGTTGCCAATAAAAATTCAATTCATTTTACAATCAATTCAATTAAATTTGCTAAAAGAGAAGCCGCCAACAATATGATATATGATTATGTCATATTCCTTTGCTAGACTCCCAAGCATCTGCAACAAATGCCACTGGACACACGCTGTAATTAATGCAATATAAATTGCAAATTTCCTGCATATTAACCGCATGACATGCGCTCAAGCGCTGTCAGAAGCAAATGCATGTTAAGCAGCTGGAAAGCCAAACCACATTCCAAACCCTCTGGCCAATGCGCATGCAACAGCTGCAGATAAACTTGAAATTTTACAATTTATTTTTGTAATAATCTGAGGAAAAAAAGAAAAGTATTTTAAGTGCTCATTTCAAGCTGAATGAAAACTGTGAACGAGCGTTTGTTTGTTTTGAGCTGCTCATCCTGTCAGTGCTTTGCATGAGTGCACAAGCCCACAGAAACCACAAACAGGAAACAGAGAACAGACGACAGACCAAACCAGACCGGAGCAGCTCAAGACAAGTCGAGTCAAGTCGAGAGTCAAGAGTCAAGTGAGTCTGTGAGAACAAAGCCGCGACTGCTGAATAATGATGCTAATAAAACTGCAAATGAAAGCAGCCAGAAAACGTCAGAGTGCAAGGCAGCTAAACAATGCCTGGAGTCTGTCCACAAGCCAAAACCCTCCAGACCTTAGTTATGTACCCAATAATTTACCCAGTCCGCTCACTAATCCGCATTAGTTGAATGCGCAATGACCTACGCGAATAAATTCACTTCATGCGCACAATCCAAACAATTCACTTGGCATTTTCTGTTTGCAATTGTTTTAGTCCCTCTCTCTCCCTCTCTCTCTCTCTCATTCTCCCTCTGTCATCCTTTCCTTTGAGAATTGTCTGACTGCACATCAATATTTAAGCATGCCAGTTGCTTAATTCACAGCCCTCGCTGTATTATTCAGACTAAGCTAATTCAGTAAATTCGGTTGTCAGCATATTTAATGCGTAATCGGGTCGACCGAACGCAGGTGAGTAATAGTTGGAGGCCTAATTGGGTTCCTGACAACGCTCAACATATTTAATGACAAATTAAATATTTATTTCATTTGACGTTATTTCAATTCAAATCAGAGCTAAAGCTTTATTACCTGAATATCCATTTGATTTACAGAAAATAAATAAATTATATTGAAACTAAAATGAATTTGCTATTAAATTGAAACTAAAATGAAAACAGGGATAAACCGATTGTAAAATGTATTCTATATTTAAAATTCAACACATTGAATACATTTATACTGAGTGGAAACTTTGCAATTTTAAACTGAATTCAGAAAAAACAAATTAAAATTAAATTTGTATTAAACAATAAAATAAAAACGATAAAGTCTTAAATTTTTCAATCAATTAATTTATATATTTTAAAAAATTAATTTCAGCTTAAAATGGAATTAACAGCAGATAAAAATAGTCATAGATCTAAATTAAAGCAATGAAAAATATATACACTAGCAAAAACAAAATTCAAATATTAAAAACTTGAATTCAGTAAAATATACATAAATTGAGTCAACATCAAACAAATCTCATTTTATACTTAGCTGGTATTAAACCCAACTTTAAATGTCACTTTAAGCCGAGTAAATCCCATTAGGAAAACTACGTGGTGCAAAATTTATCAAATCTGCTCAGCTCAGTCAAAAAGTTGACAAAATGGAATTAAAAACACTAAAAAAAAAGTGCACAGGGTTCGAGTTAAATATTTATATGCACAAGCTCAAAGCATTCTACAAAAAGAAGAAAAAATCAAAAATGCTGTTAACTAACGAAACACGAAGATGTTAACCAAAAAGTCAGTCAAAAATAAAGTTGACATGACAGCGAAAAAAAAAAACACTAAGAGAGCTCTCGTTGAGACTGCTCGACTGGGAGTTCACCTGAACCCAGCATAGAGCTGATATTGCATATTGCATTCACTTAATATTTCTATTATGCAACCATAACACACAAAAAAAAACTCTGAAGTCTTCAACGCTAGCAGTATAAAAAAGATCATTTACTATCGATAATAAAGAGTTATCGATAAACAGTTGATATAGAATTTGAGCTAGGGAGATATCTAGATATCTACCTTCAATCGGACTAACTAGATCAACCCATCTTGTCACTCAGTTCAGTAATATATATACTGTTGCTTCCATATATAGAGCTTCTGTCACGGCTCCTTCACAAAAATTATATATACCCTGATTTCCCATTTTCAATGGGTATACAAAATGAAACAAGAAAATGTGAGCAGCACACAGAGCAACCGCAGACAGGCGTGACAACGTTTGATACATGTACATATATATGACAATATATATAGACATATATGTATATATATGCTCATATCACGATGAGAGTCATTTATACATACATATATCATGATGATTCGCCTTCTGACAAGACATTTTGCTAAACCAATTTTTCAAACATTTTCACATTTGTTGTTATTTTATTCGTTTATGGATTATTTAACTTTGGGGCGCGTGTGATTTGTGCTTTGTGTATTACAAGTTGATTGTGCATTTTTAGTGTGGGCGTGTCAATTGTTAATAATGCTTGCTTGATACTTTGTGCGCGATAATGCATTTGCTATGTGGCTTATACAGTATTTATTTATTTCTTGGCATTTGAGCTATCAAACATGGCATACTTACCGCTATCACACTCCTCGTTCACATTCATCTCGAGCATCTTGGTGTGTGTGATGTCCTTGTGGGAGGCCAGGAAGAGCACCACCTCGCGCTTCTCATTTTTAATGGGCACAATGTCAAACAGACACCAAAAGGGCGCACCTGGATTAAGAGATAAATTATGACATTGACGTGTTAATTAATTAAAATGACCCTGGCCACGGCACAGGTCTCTGTTGCCAGCTGTAAAAACTGAAAAAAAAAAACAGATACACAGACACACAAACACACGCACACACTCACACAAAATAGCTGTATATAATCATAATAAACGGTAAATAGCGGGCATTTAAGTTGAATAGCTGCAGAGCAGATTTAGTGACCATGGCGAACGTTTGATGTAAACAGCTACAGCTATTTGAGCGATGCTAAAGACGCCTTTGTCTGCACAGCAGCAGGAGGCGTGGCCGTCGAGCCAAGGTCTATTATGTTGGGTAGTATTTAAGCGAGCATTGCTTTGATGCTGGTGTCCATGGAGAAGACGTTTCTCAGTAAACACAAAAATAGAAGAACAGGCACAAGGAAGTGCAAAAAGCTCATCAAATTTAATGAAACTGGAGGTGAGGTTGGCTAAATTAACAGAGCCTATAATAGTGAGAACTATTTGAAAGTAATGTATACTACTGTTGAATTGAGTTAATAATCTTGTTGAGTTTTACCCTGCAACTGTGAGAGATAAAACTCTTTCAGTTTATATATTATGCATTAGATGATTAGATTTAGCTCTCTGCTTGCTCCTATATACCCTCCATAAACGATTCAAATATATCAAATGAATACTCCTTGCTAACTGTAACATATGTATTTATCGCAGAGCTTGCAAATATCCCTCGAGTGTTTCTCAAAACTCACAATTTAAATGCACACTTTGAGAAAAAGATATCTAATTTATTTATGATTGATATAGTAAATTCTATAAATTATTTTAAAAATCTTATTTAA